TCAAAGCACGGCTTTCAATATGAAATGGAGGATCAAAATGCTAAGAAAAAAAATTTAGTTAACAAATACCAATTCTATTTTTTTGATCAATTCAAACTATTAATTAAACGGTGTCACACAACTAATTAAAAACTATTAAGAATAATATAATAATGTGTTTTAGATTGTGATAATGTCAATGTTGGTGATAATGAAAATCGATTTAATATTGTAAAATAATATTTTTATATACACACGCGAAAGTATATAAAATATTATTCGATATATATATCCGAAATATATATACACACACACAAATATATATATATATATATATATATATATATATATATATATATATATATATATAAATCAGACCACCATGGTTATATGCATGGATATCTACAGAAAAGATATATACATATCAACCAAATGGAATTTATAATCCATAGATTATAATTCCAACCAAACTACAACAGAGAAGGAGGATTTTTGCTTAGAAGCATAATCCAAAACCCCGAAAGAAGGAAAGATGGCTCGTGTTTGGGTAAGGGTCTTTTAGCGTGAGTCAAGCGACCACTCTTTCCTTAAAACCTTATTTGCCACCTCCCAAAAGTGTTAGGAGCGTCGTGTCCTAGGTTTCCCAGGATAAAACGCGCTACGGTTCGACGTTTGAGCACCCAAACGAACGGACCCGGCGAACGGAGCAAAGCCTTGAACACAGTTAGGCTTAAGAAAGGAGTAGAAGCAGAAGTGTTTTGAAGCTTGAAAAGTGTATTTTCGTGTTGTGTGCTTGTTCACTCCATTTCCAAAAATTCTGCTATCCTACTCCCTTCTTATATAGGGTATGAAGGATTCAATAGCATCATTATGGCATTAAAGCTGATATTAAATCAGTCTTTGTAACACCTGAAACAGCCAGCCCCATTATCATAGAGTTAAATTCAGATTTAAAGTTGGAATTAATTAAAAATTAATTCCGCAAGTGATGAGTTTAATCTCACACTGGACTGGTTGCAGAAACCGAACAAAACCGAACAACACAACTCTCGTGGCCGAACCATGGTTCGTTTGGTGTTACTTTCAGCCTCTCAAGGCCCTGAACTCACACGAGAGTTCGGTTCCAGCGAGCTGCTCTCTTTCGTGCAGCCCCTTCAAGTGAAGTTGGCATAACTTAGCCCGCAAGACCAGCCAATTTCCGTTTCTAGTTGGATTTTGATTTGCACCCCCCCCCCCCCCCCCCGCGCGAGAGAGCCTCTATGCTATAAAATTCTACAAGCTTGAAAAGAGCTCTTGTATATAAGGGGGGTCAAATCCTCTTTCCAAACCAATGTGGGACAAAACTCACTTTTCCCTTCATTTTTCCAACTCAATGGGTCTACTTTGAGAATCAATATCTCATTCACCCATTATCTGTTTTGAACGTACAATATATCAATCTCTTCGTCTCACTACGAAGAACTTGAATCTACTTTGACCCGACCCAAATCGGAAGTGGACCCCACTGATAATTGTACCACAAAATAGCCACTTAAAAAGCCATTTTAATGCTATTTTTCCATCCCCCACAGGAATGAAAATAGATTTTTGGGGTATTTTGAAATAGGAAACAACTGTGTTTAAACGGTCGATCCCTGCATAGGATAGGTAGGGAGTCACTATACCCTTTGAACCTTCCCTTATGAAGATATATTTACTCTACTGGCTGTACGATAGAACGCGATGTCTTTGAACCGACTGCCGTTTGTGTAGATGATGACATATCTCACTCAGGAACCTCCCAACCATGCTCTATTCTCATGAGTGTGCCATTTTGGTCGTGGGTCACCGTTCCTGGTTCTGCGAGAATTTCTAAAGAATTGTGCCCAACAATTCTCCTTTGAAGCGACCCTCACTTCTCTCTTACATAGGTGATTCTTTCTCAAGTATCCCGCATACTCACATATGTCAACCGACATTCGAGTCATTAAAGCATCAACGTGCTAGCCTCGTGCGGGAGTCACTGTTTCTAACGAGGAGTAGTAGGGAGTCCGAGACCCACACAGTGACACGCTTCGTTCCATAATTTAGTTGTCCCATTGAACCTAGGTGCCAGCTAGGTTGGGTATCCACTATAGAACTTTTAGTCCAAGGGCTTTAGACCCATTCCTCGTTCCAACTGTTGGAAAATTAAAAGATGAAGCAGCCATGAGAATATGTTTAATGTTGTGGCTAGCATTGTAGGGTGGACAGCGCCTCATGCGCTCATCATATGGATAGCGCGTATTGCGCTAGTTTGTGGATGATGGATGTCCTTTCCATTTTTGTGGAAGGGATGGAGGGGCTACTTACTATAAATAGTAGCTCCCAACATCGTTTTAAAACACACCTTGAATTCGAGTCATTTATTCTATTCTCCTTCTCCCTCCTTTAGTCTGAGCAATAGTGAGGTTCGCCTACGTGATTGCTAGTGCAAGCTATCCGTAGTAGGTCTGTGTAGCATGTCGAAAGCGTGCCAGGGTTCTAACTGCACCGTTACCGGGCAAATAACGCTTTTAAGGTAGTGTTATTATAACACGGCACAGATTTTCTTTCTACCATACATCCGTAGTGTCCGTGCTTCTTAAAAGGCTTCCAGATCGTGCGTTGACGTTGCTATTTTCCCCAACAGTTAAAAGCGTTATTCTGCAACAGTCAACCTTTAACATTATAGCACCTTCTGTCATACCGGATCTATCAAAAATTACCGCGCTTGATGGGAAAAATTACAGTAGTGTTCTCTCCATTTGGTGCTACAAAATGTAATCATGAACCTGATTACACTCCGGGTGAAGAATCGAGAGAAAGCAGTCCTGAAATAGATTACATTCCGGGTCAAGAACCAGGTGTAACTCTGATTCAATTTAGAAATGACAATGCGGCAGCCAGAGGATACCTGCTGTCACAAATGAATGACGATTTGTTCGACATCTATGTCAAACAAGATTCGGCAAAAGTCATTTGGGAATCACTGTCAGAAAAGTACGGTGCAAATGGAACTGAAAGTCAAAGTGTCAGAACCGTCTACAACGAAAGGAGTAGAAAAATAAAGAAGTTTAAAGGAAGGTGTTTTACGTGCAGAAAGCAAGGACACCGAGCACACCAGTGCTACCATCACAAGGGAAAAACTAGCAAAAGTCAATCTGACAGAGCAAGATGAGTATTGAGTCTCTTTAAATAAATAGTTATTTTGAGTAACTATGTTTGCTCTAGTTCTAAGGGTTCGCATGAAGTATGGTTATCGTAGTACATAAATTCTAGTTGAGTTGTCTAGATTTTGATTACTTAGTAGTACTTATTTCTTTAGTATTTTGAATACTAATGACATTGATTGAAATAATTCGTGCATAGATATTGCTCAAACTTTTTACTAAAATTATTTGTATAAAAATAAGAGCATATATCATAGGCTTCAATTGTAATTTAGTGAGAACATGGAAAAGTCATCATTCTTGAACACTCTGTCTAGGAAGATGGTTTTTAAGTAAACTTCGGTTTCACCACTGGACCTGGGAGTTTTTAAGAAGTAGGGTGTTGATCGTGCAGGCTAGTTAGAGCGCCACTTGATCTTTACCTGAAATGAGGTTGACTTTCATATGTTGCTAATACAATCAAAGCCTTGCAATAGAAGTTGTTGAAGTACTGCAATATTGATCTGCACCCTATGAATGCTTTATATGAGTTTTAAATTCCTTAAGGGAAGGAAAAAATTGTGCTAGTGGCAACTCTGAAGTCTCATTGTTGAGAGATATTCCGAATAAATATGAGCTCAAACATATTCATTTTGTATGAGATTAATTTCTTATAAGAATATGATGTGAAATTTGTGATTATGTTGTTCAACTTGATGTAGCATGTGGACAACATTATTTCTATGGCTTACTAACAATGAGTATTTGTATATATGTTATTTAAACTCTTGGTTGAGTCATATTGAAATACCTATAATTCCTAGTTAAAAGATAATTGTGATCAATTGAGATAACCAAGTTTGTTGAAATATATTCAACTGTTGAGCATGTATCAGGCAGAGTGCGAAGCTTCTATAATGCTCCACAAAGCAAATCGGCAAAACTCAGTCTACAAAGGAGCTAAAGTGGGCACCAAATATCAGTCTGGGTAAGAGATCAAATACATTTGACAAAAATATTTTTAAGTGTTGCTTTGTGGGGTAATAAACTCCATATATTTTCATCAAAAGTTTCTCTGTGGTATTGAGAATAATGATGAAAGAGAATGTGTCATGTTAAACATGAAAATCTCAAGGGATTATTTACGAGTAAACGAAGTACTCGTCAAAGTGCATGTAAGTTTGGTCAAGAGAATCAACTTACTTGAGGGCTAATTATGAGGATTAGTCGTTGACTCATTGGAAGGACTTAAAGTCCAAGTGGTAATGAATTCGTGGTGGATCCCAATTCTGTGGTCAAATGAAACCATGAAAAGAGTTACAAAATAGTACACTAGTTGGTCATTCCGACAGTGTGTGTACCTGTGAGGTTGAGCTACAGCTCTTAATGAATTCATAACTCTTTGAGAAAGGGTGGTTTTGTTGAGACAAACTTAATGAATTCATCGCATGTGAGGTTGAGCTACAGCTCTTAATGAATTCATAACTTTTTGAGAAAGGGTGGTTTTGTTGAGACAAACCTAATGAATTCACCGCATAATAACATGAGTACAAAGTGCTCGTGGTGCCCATAGATACTCTGTAGCCAGTCATGGTGGTCTGCGTTGAGGTAGACTTGACAGAGTTGAAGGTCTATCCTAGAATAGACCTAACAGGGGATATCTCAGGGTCAAGAGTATGACCTCACATATTTTAAAGCGACCAAAGCAAATTAAGTGCGTTAAGTTCAAACTTTGTCTATTCGATGAGTTCAAGATCAAATTCACTCCCGTTTAGAGAAGTACTTAATGTCACTATATGACAGTTCAAGTTTTATACACTGGCATGAAAATTTGTTTTGATCGTTGTCAGGCAATGACAGCATCAGCCTAAGTCCCTTTAATGGTGGGGGATTGTTGGGAGCATTTAAAAGGAAAGGCTTCCTTTTGCCTATCCATGTTGTCCCACATTGGAAGTTTAGCCTCTTATACTCAATTGGGATGGTCTATGTTGAGATAGACCTAAAGAGATCCCTAACTTGAATGGAAAAGGGCTACCATGGTCTATGTTGAGATAGACCTAAAGAGATCCCTAACTTGAGTATAAAAGGGCTAACCGCCTCTTATGAAAGATAATGGGGTTATCCCAAGAAGCTGAGTGGCTAAGAAACATGGTGATAACCGTGTAATTGTGGGGGTGTCCAACACCTTCCTTCATTGTGATTCACAAACTGTCGTTTGCATTGCAAATACCAGCCTATGATAGAAAGAAAAAACTTACAACTGATTTATGTCTTTAACTACTCTATAAGCCTTTAATGGTGGTCTATACCGAGATAGACCTGATAGAGTTAAAAGTCTGTATTGAGATGGACTTCACAAGACGGAAAAAATCTATAATGTTGTAAGACTTGTCAGAGTTAAAAGTCTATTTTGTGATAGACTTTGACAGGGTAGAAGTCCATATTTGAGACAGACGTAACATTCTTTAATACTAAGGGCGTTCATAAGAAGTCAAAGAGTTTGACTTTTGTAGAACCTGCTTTTTGAGTTGGTGTGTGCATTCGAGTTCAAAATTTATCTAACCGGTGAGTTCAAGATTCATATCACTCTCGGGAAGAAAATTACTCAGTGTCACTACGTGTCAGTTCAAGTTCTCAAACACTGACATTAAGATCAACTCATTTGTATTGCTCAGATATTATCATTTTCCTTTCCTCTTTAAATTTGTGGGGGATTGTTGGAAAATTAAAAGATGAAGCAGCCATGAGAATATGTTTAATGTTGTGGCTAGCATTGTAGGGTGGACAGCGCCTCATGCGCTCATCATATGGATAGCGCGTATTGCGCTAGTTTGTGGATGATGGATGTCCTTTCCATTTTTGTGGAAGGGATGGAGGGGCTACTTACTATAAATAGTAGCTCCCAATATCGTTTTAAAACACACCTTGAATTCGAGTCATTTATTCTATTCTCCTTCTCCCTCCTTTCGTCTGAGCAATAGTGAGGTTCGCCTACGTGATTGCTAGTGCAAGCTATCCGTAGTAGGTCTGTGTAGCCTGTCGAAAGCGTGCCAGGGTTCTAACTGCACCGTTACCGGGAAAATAACGCTTTTAAGGTAGTGTTATTATAACACGGCACAGATTTTCTTTCTACCATACATCCATAGTGTCCGTGTTTCTTAAAAGGCTTCCAGATCGTGCGTTGACGTTGCTATTTTCCCCAACACCAACTTCTCCACAACTAATTGCTTACCCTCGGGTTAGCGAGTTAGCGGCCGCTACGTTATCTTTTGACATCACGTAGTCAATAGAGATAACCCCTGTTGTGAGAAATTGTTTAATGGTATTATGTCAACGACTTATAAGTCTAGACTTACCATTCTACATCTAACTCTGTACTTAACCAATTTTGGCTTGACCATCGCAATGCACACAAATTGGAGGTACGAGTTTACCACTAGGAACATTTCCGAAAAATGGCATAGCCATTCGGTCTACTCGCTCGCGACACGAGTCTAAAGCTCTCAGCATAGATCCCGTCATGGATCTTAGCTATCACAAGTCGTTTCAAGAATTTCCATAAAACCTACTGCACTGGCCTACGTAAAGACGTAGCCTTTGATGGACTTAGCGTCCTTTGATATCCGTGTTATACTTTCCAAGTACAGCTAGATATCCCACGTAGTGTAGGCTAGAGTACGAGCATACCTTAAGTATCTCATAACTCACGCTATTGCCTTCTAGTGCGCAACACTAGCGTTACTCGTATGTCTACCGAGTTAGTTAACCGCTAAGGCAATATCCAGCCTAGTACAACCCATTAGATACAATTAAACTACCAATAATCTGAATGTATTCTCCGTGAGATGTACATCCTTCGTGATTATTGGCTAGTTGTACGTTAGTATCTAACGGTGTCCAAGCCACTTGATTAACATCCTTTGCAAGGATTTAATCAATACAATGAGATTGACTTAATACGAGACCATACGGTCTTCTCACAATTTTAATCCTGAGGATTAAATCTGCCAACCCCATATCCTTCATCTCATGTCAAATCTCAAATTTAACATGTTCTTGGTAGAAATCATCCTGTGATCGTTACTACCCACGTTGAGTTTATCGTGTATAGACAAATAGTGATGACCTCGTCTAAGGTACGCATTACGTAGACATTTATCACATTTGTTTATACTAAACTCGTGACACATCATTGTATGATCAAAACCTACATGCCAAATACTAAGGCAATTGTTTCAAACCATACAATGATCTCACTAATTACACACTATCTTTCCATAGCGCGGAAACACAAAACCCTCGGGTTGTTCCAAGTCTATTAAGAAAGCGATACATCCATTTCGATAAACTTTCAAGTCTCGCTAAACAGCTCTTGGGAAGTATCATCCTAATGGATTTCATTCTCATCACAAGAGAATATATATTGAAGTAAATGTGGCACTCGTGTCGCATGTAATCTAAAATTACAAGCCCGGCCATTTTACTTCAATATAACCAACCGGTTTTATCTTCCGACTAGTGATCCACTTAGGATCCCGAGGTTTTACAACCTGGAGGAAGAACAACCAGTTCCAAGTATGATTCTCTAAGATAGAATCTACTTCACTCTCGGTAGCCACTCTCAGGTTGGTCCACTTGTAGAAGTCAACGATTCTACATACGTTCGAGGCTCGTTTTCTAACAACCATGTCAGAAAATTCTGTTTATTTTCTAGTAAACAAGTTAGAATATGCGCATCACATTCTAGCATGTACGTCATAAAATCTGGACCAAAGGATATTTCAATCCTAGCTCTCTTGCTACGTCTAGCTTTGAGCTCGGGTTCTCTTTCATACCCTTCATCCATAGCTACGTCGAAAGTTCATTTCAACGTGCTAGGTCCATTTTATTGAACCTTCTCAGAAATGCATCTTCTAAAGAGCGATGAATTTCTTGATTCAATTTACCGTGTTCTTATGTACATCCAGAGCGTAGGACTCGTGTACTAAGAACCAAAACGCCTTTGGCAAGACACCCCCACATTTCAGGCATTCGTAGGAAAGCATCCTACGTATCCACAATTCGTAAGAATTTCATGCAGGTAACCTTATTTAAAAGGTACTTACTTGTCCAAAGTATTGTCTCACCCCACATACCTTGAGGTAGACCCAAACTTATCAACGTCTTGATATTTATGTTCGGCAACAACATTCAATTGAGGTGAATACCGTGTCGTACGCTCGAGTACGATACTAATGATTGCGCCGAAATCACCAATCGGTGTTTCATTTTTACCACATCGGTCGTTCGTAACCGCGTTAATTCACAATTAATTTGGTTATCCTTTTTATTCTCATAAAGAATAAACATGTGTTACACGTTAACACATCTCGTAGAAGCTAACAGATTAGCCTTTACAAATCCATTCGATTTTTGACCGAAGGCCACAAACCCGAATCAATGCTTCCAAAAATTGAAGCACGAATCAGTGCTTAGTAATGAAGCACGAGACATGCTATACCAAGCACGAATCATTGCTGTCAAACTAACGCGCCGATTCCCAAGCAATCTCTATTGCTTTAAATTATAAACTTCTAGCAACATTCGATTGCTTAATTTATAATTTTAGTGCTACTTAGCACTAGGATTATTAGTTAATTACACAATTAACCAAACCTCCTTTCGTGCTAATCACATAACACTTTTTGCAATGCTAAATTTAATTAGCCTCTTGCATAATGCTAATTCAACATTTTGGGCGTCCAGTGCTGTTAAGCACTTCAATTAGCACTTCAACAGTGCCAAATTTAATTAGCATTTTCCATTAAGCTCAAGCTTAATTTGACATCCCAACAATTTATCTCAAATCACATTTCATATTAGTATAATTTGGAATTTTGATCAAGTTAATTATAACACAATTAACAAGAACAAATCAACCAAATTTCCGACTAGTTGAATCAAACTCATATAATCGTTCTTAGAATATTATATAAAATATTCAACACTTGAGCTGTGACGCTCACGATTATATAGTTATCCCAATTTTTGACAAATTGATCCTTGAAATCCGTATCGTTCTACATGAACCTGAACCGAAGTTCGTTACGGGATTCCAACATGTAACACCCTTGTTACATTTCGTTCCGGCCGTTAAGCCATTTTAGCATTTTCCACATAACGCTACATGATGCACTACACGCCCATGTTGAATCATTTCATACATTTGACATTATTCTAGCAAATAATTCGTATGTACCAAGATTCAACTCAATGGAACAATTATATTTTTATTCAAATAAAAATATTACAAGGATACTACAACATTTATTCAAAATAAATAAATAGGAAAATACATTGGAAACTAATTTCCATTATTCCTATTTCGTAGTAATCCTTCAAACCCGTGTGCCTTGTTCCATTCTCAACCGTCCACTCCACGAAGGGTGGTCCATAGCACACATCGGGGGTACCTATGGTTGTGACCTCACTCGTCCAACCATCCACATGTCTTAAACATAGCGAAGTTGTCCTCAACCTTTTCACCAGGATGACGATTCGCTTCATAGTGACATTTCTCCTTCTTTTCATAATCTTCTTGAATGCTAAGCTTCCGCTTGAGTTTCCTTCGATTACGGTTGAAGTCATTGGTAACACTACCATAGTCCTCAGACCATGTAGTCATTACACCATCATAGGATCCTTCGTGGTTTTTAGCGGATCCGTTAGGCAACACAATAGGTACCAATTGTGTGCCATTATCCACAGGTCTACCGGATCGTGAACCAAAGTTCTCCGGAGCACCATCGTGTGCTTTTGCAACTCCCATGGAAATATCATTTCTAACGTTGCTGCCATTAATTGGCATCATGGAGTGTGCAACATCATTGCCGTTCCGACCATTTGAATGTGCACCTCCGGCAACATTCACGGATCCAATACTCTTGGAATCCAACGATTTGTTCATTATCAAAAATAATAAGGTTTTAAGATTGTTGGTGATAATGAACCAATAATCGATTTAATATCGTAAAATAATATTTTATATACACACATGAAAGTATATAAAATATTATCGATATATATATCCGAAATATATATATACACACACAAATATATATATAAATCAGACCACCATGGTTATATGCATGAATATCTACAGAAAAGATATATACATATCAACCAAACGGAATTTATAATCCACAGATTATAATTCCAACCAAACTACAACAGAAAAGGAGGATTTTTGCTTAAAACCCCTCCACGTATTCCTCCCCATAAGTAGTTCCAGCAACATGATCAAGACAGGAGGGGTCTTGTGGCACGAGGGAGTCGTCTTCATCAGTTTCTAGCAATAAATTTGATCGAACAACTTCAATAGATATTGAAGAATTGTATTAGTTTTTGTGTCATTATACTTAATCTTGTTAAGTAAATTGATCTTGATTTGGGCTTGTGCCCTTAACATCTCGTGTCTCATTCATCTTTTCTGCATTCTATTTCACTGCATGTTCTTGCACTTTATGGTTTTGTGTTAGGACTCTAGTATTAGTAGTCTAGTAGAACTCTTTATACTTGTCTTCTATATTAGTATTGTACAGACTATTGTTCGTTTCGGTTAATCAATACAATCCTCATCTGGTATCATATCTAGGTTTCTTTCCATGGCAGCTTTGGGTGGGAATGATGATGGATCTGTTCGTGATTCTTCAGAACGGACCGTCTCCGAGGTTGCCTCCACCCCCATTTATCCGTCTCCGAGCTTGTCCAGTGCTCATCACTTTGTGTCGATCAAGCTCATCGCACACAATTATCTGTTCTGGCGTACCCAGATGCTCCCGTTTCTCGAAGGTCAGGGGGTGTTGGGCTTTGTTGACGGCACGGTGGAGTGTCCGTCGGCAGCCTCGTCGGCTTCGTCGACGGCAGACAGCGGCAGCACTGCCTCGGCAGTAGCGTCGCCGGTGGTGCAGTGGCGTCGACAGGACAAGGCTGTCCTGTCTCTCTTGATCTCGTCCTTGTCTGACGAGATGCTACCGTTGGCGGTGGGCCGACCGGCGTCGCGTAAGTTGTGGTTGGCGATTGAGCAAGAGCTCGGCTCGGCAACGCGGTCTCGCGCGGTTCGTTTGCTCAGTGAGCTGCAGCGTTTTTCGCAGGGGGCTTCGTCCGTTTCGGATTATTTGAACCGGGCGCGGATTTTGGTGGAAGACTTGGCCCTTGCTGGGCGTCCGGTTCCTCTTGATGAGCAGAATATTTATGTCTTCCGTGGACTGCGGTCGGATCTTCGCCCGCTTGTTGCTCCGTTGACTCGTGGTGACCCGGTAACTCTCTCGGATCTTTCCGATTATTTAATTTCTCAAGAATATATCTACGCAGGTGATGGTCCGGTTGGTGCGCCGGTTGCCTTGACCGTTCACCGTGGTGGCCGGGGCGGTCTTGGCGGAGGCCGGTTCTCCCGAGGTGGCTCGGGCAGTGGGGGTTCCGGCGGCAGTGGGTCGGGCACCGGCGGTTCGGGCAGTGGCGGCCGTGGTCGCGGTGGCCGGGGCCGTGGCCGTGGTCGCTCGGATGTGCGTTGTCAGATTTGTGACAAGATTGGGCACTCGGCGGCAAATTGTTGGCGCCGTTATTCTGAGTCGTCTGGTCCTCAGGCTAATGTGGCTTTTTCTGGTGGTGAGGGTGGTTCGGTTGACTCTCACCAATGGTTTCCTGATACTGGGGCCACTAATCATGCCACTCCCGATTCCTCTCAGTTGATGTCCTCGGCAGGTTATGACGGTTCGGACACTCTTCGTGTCGGCAATGGTGCAGGTATGCCTATCTTTAGTGTTGGATCTACTTCGATAGCCTCGTCTTCTAGAGTGTTTCGATTAGATGATGTTTTGCATGTCCCTGGTTTGTCTTCCTCTTTAATTTCTGTTCAACGCTTTGCCAAAGATAATCGTGTCTTTTTTGAGTTTCATCCTGACTGTTTTCTTGTGAAGGATCTCTTGACCAGGGAGGTGGTTTTTAAGGGGGGAACTTCTGGTGGCTTATACTCCTGGCCCGCGTCTTCTGCTCGTTCTGTTGCTTATGTTGCTGCGCGTGCTTCGTCTTCTACGTGGCACAAGCGGCTTGGTCACCCTCATACTCGGGTTCTTCGTCAGATTTTGCAGTCTTCTGGTGTTAGTAGTTTTAATTCTAGTGATTTATCTCGTTTGTGTTCTTCGTGTCAGTTAGGGAAGTCATCCCGTTTTCCTTTGCCCCGTGTTGAAACTAAAACTACCCGTGTACTAGAATTGGTTTATACTGATATTTGGGGCCCTGCGCCTGTGCACTCTGTGAATGGTTTTCGTTACTTTGTTTTGTTTGTGGATGACTTTACCCGTTTTATTTGGTTTTATCCGATGCGCTTAAAAACTGATATATATTCCATATTTGAACGGTTTCGGTCACTCGTTGAGCGCTCGTTCTCACAGAAAATACTTTCTATTCAGTCTGATTTAGGGGGAGAGTATAAGAAACTTCACTCTACCTTTGAGTCTCTTGGCATTCGTCACAGGCAGTCCTGTGCATACACACATGAACAGAATGGGCGGGTAGAACGCCGTAATCGGCATATAGTTGAGACTGGTTTGGCCCTGATGGCTCAGGCGTCTGTTCCATCTCGTTTCTGGGACTATGCGTTTGAGACTGTTGTATACTTGATTAATAAAATGCCTACCAGTGTCTTAAATAATGAGTCTCCTCACTCTCGTTTGCACCGGTCTCCTCCGTCCTATTCCTTTTTGCGTGTCTTTGGGTGTTTGTGTTTTCCTTTATTGCGTCCCTATAACCGTAATAAATTGGAATATCGTTCTTCTCCTTGTGTGTTTTTAGGGTATCCTGACTCTTTTCGTGGCTATCGTTGTATGAATCCTGTCACTAATAAGGTCTTTATCTGTCGCCATGTGCGATTCGATGAGTCCGTTTTTCCTTTTGCTGGATCTGTTGCTTCGCAGGTGGTGTCTCGGCCTCCAGTGGTGCCGTGGGGTGTTGCCCCCATCGTGCATGTCTCCTCTTCAGTTATGGAGCCTGTCGATGATACACCGGTTCCGGATATGCCCGCGGGTCCGGCTGACTCTGTCTCCACTGAACGGACCGTTTCGGCTGTCCCTAAAGCTTCTCGGGGTCGACCTCGTGGTAGTAAGAACAAGGTGGCAGGTCCGCCCTCTCATGTTATGGCAACGAGGAGTCGGGGCCCGCAGGAGCATGTGGCTCTCGTTTCTGCCACTACAAACATGTTACTCTCAGGCTGTGGCGCATCCTGAATGGCGTGAGGCCATGGATGCTGAGTTTAATGCTCTCCTACACAACCAGACTTGGACTCTGGTCCCGTACACTCCAGGTATGAATGTTGTGAGTTGCAAGTGGGTGTTTCGGGTGAAACGGAATGCTGATGGGTCTATTGAGCGGCATAAGGCTCGTCTGGTGGCCAAAGGTTTTAATCAGGTCGCTGGTAAGGATTTCTTTGAGACTTTCAGTCCGGTGGTCAAGCCAACCACGGTTCGCCTTCTTCTGTCACTTGCTCACTCCCGTGGTTGGTCCATTCGTCAGTTGGATGTCCACAACGCTTTTCTGAACGGTAACCTGGCGGAGATAGTGTATATGCGTCAGCCGCCTGGTTATGAGGACAAGTCTGTTCCTGATTATGTTTGCCATCTACAGCGTTCATTATATGGACTGAAGCAGGCTCCTCGTGCCTGGTTTACCCGATTGCATGACTTCCTGATCTCTGTTGGGTTTGTTCCGTCCAAGACTGACGTTTCGTTGTTTATATATTCTGTCAGTGGTGTGCAGCTTTACTTTCTTGTGTATGTGGATGACATTTTGGTCATGGGATCGGACTCGAGCCGTGTTGATGGGCTTGTGGCTCAGCTTGCGCGTACATTCAAGATTCGGGACATGGGACCCCCGTCTTTCTTTCTTGGCATTGAGACGATGTCACTATCTGATGGTATTCTTCTGTCTCAACGGCGTTATATACAGGATATTCTTAGACGTGCAGGCATGGTTGACTGTAAACCGGTTTCTACACCTATTTCGGTGGCTCGGTCTGATGTTGATGATTCTACTCCGTTTGCTGATCCTACTCACTACCGTAGCATTGCAGGTGCACTTCAGTACCTGACGGTGACTAGGCCGGATTTGTCTTATGCAGTTAACAGGCTTTGTCAACGCATGCAGTCGCCCACCACTGCGGACTGGGCGGTTATGAAGCGTGTTCTGCGGTATGTGAAAGGCACTCATGGTATGGGCCTCTGTATTCGCAAGTCGGAGTCTCTTGCATTGCATGCGTTCTCGGATTCGGATTGGGCAGGTAATCCGGATGACCGAAAGTCTACGAGTGGGTTTGCCGTCTTCTTGGGGTCCAATTTAATTGCCTGGTCTTGTCGGAAGCAGCGGACAGTGGCGCGGTCCTCTACTGAGGCCGAATATAAGGCACTGGCTGATGTGGCGGCAGAGGTCACGTGGTTGGTTTCTTTGCTGCGCGAAATTGGCTTTCCTCCAGACGCTGCGCCGGGGCTGTGGTGTGATAATCTGGGAGCAACATACCTCTGTGCTAATCCGGTTTTTCATGCACGAACTAAGCATGTTGAAATCGATTATCACTTTGTTCGAGACAAGGTTGCCAAGAAGGAGTTGCAGGTTCATTTTATTTCCACGAAGGACCAGCTAGCTGATATTTTCACCAAGCCACTTGCATCTGCTCGGTTTTCATTGCTTCGGGACAAGCTCAATATTTCGAATGCTCCACCTTGAGCTTGAGGGGGAGTGTTAGGACTCTAGTATTAGTAGTCTAGTAGAACTCTTTATACTTGTCTTCTATATTAGTATTGTACAGACTATTGTTCGTTTCGGTTAATCAATACAATCCTCATCTTTTGGATTAGATACAAGGACTGTAGCCTCCTATTATATTCCTGTGCCCTTTAATATAAATTTTCGTACATAATATATAATTCAACAATTAATTTACTGTCTTTTAATTAAAATAAAACACTTTTTAAATTTAGTATTAAAACTATACCAAAATGAATAGGTCATGCGTTCAAGAAGATGCATATAAAATAATACTGTAATTAGACCAAGAATTGGCAACAATCGTTTGTGTTTTAATTCAGATGCGATTATTTTGATAATGGAAATATCAAAAGAAAATGTTAAGCACCCTGCACTTTCTGCTCACAAAGTAATCAATTTATGATTTGGCAAATACAACATATTAATTTTTTCTTATTTAATTTTATTTCAAAAGTCAATATTTAGCTTATTTATCTTTGAAACTTGATTTATGATTGTGATTTGTGAAGTACAGAGAGTGTGTGTGGTACTGTATGTGTACATAATATGTAAATGTTTATACGCCATGTTTGGGTCATAGAAAATGTTTTTCAAAGGAAATTTTTTTTTTTTTTTTTGAATTTAGGAAAATTAGGGTCCGTTTACTAAGAAAAACTGTTCTCTATTCTCTGTTTTCTAATTTTTCAATTTTTATTCTCTATTTTTTGTTAGAAAACTTGTTTACTAACACTTATTTTTTTGATTTTTTTTTTAAATTAACGTTATAAAATCAATAAACGCGCGTCTAGGAAAGTCAACAACTGTCAGCAATGAAAAAGACTCTCTTTTTTTTCTCCTGTGATAACGTGACGGGAAGCACGCCGGAAGGATTTTTGCTACAAAAACGTTAGTCGTGGACCTAGATTGCAAGGTTTGAAACTCGTGGAGAAAAGCT